TAGTTACGTACTAGTTCTACCTACTAACTAACTACTACTTTACTTAACTAACTACTACTAGTACGTTACCGTACCGTACCACTACCTAACCCCCACTCCTCCTCTCTCTCTCTCTCTCTCTCTCTCTCTCTCTCTCGCTCTCTAGGAAAATAAATCAAAGTCAGCATAATGTGTACCGGATTTATTTTAATAGGGACCAAAAGCCGGTCTAGTTCACTGGCACATAGTGTGCCGAATTGGCTTTAATAAAACCAAAAGCTAGTCCAGTATGTGTCGGCTTCATTTAAAAACAAAATAGTGGACAGTGGATGCAAAAATAAATGAGAGAAACGTGTGTTATAGGGGGCAATTTCATCTTTAATAATTACTTTCTTACTGAAGGGGTGCAAAAATAAATACAACCAAGGATTAGAAAGTGTAGGGGATGCCTAGGTATGGGGGTATCCATAAATTTCCTTGTTTTAATTTGAAGTACTATATTTATATGGATGCAATGTATTGCTATTTTTTAGGTAGTTCAATCATAGGAATCTAACTTGATAATAACATTGTTTATGTCAAATGCTAACTAGTCAAGCCCAAATTCGAATCGTACTGGACGTTAATTTTTAGGGGTGCAATGGGTGGGGTGCCAGGTCCAATAAAGTAAGCCAGACCTAAAAAACTAGAGCCTGGGCTCCAAAATGTGGCTTGAGTTCATGCCACCATGGCATGAGGACAAGAGCAGGGGCTTGGGCCAGGTTCATGACACGGCCAATCTGGTTTGACCCCGCTTGGTCCTCTTTTCTTTTTTATTTTATTTTATTTGCTTTGATTGTATTTTGCCTAGTCTAGCCAAGGCCAACTTTAATAGGGCTAGACTGGGCCTTAGCCAGGGCCTCTACTGCTAGTCCAGGCCAAGTCGAGCTCATACTAGCCCTGTAGGGACAAGGGCCGGGCTAGGGCCAGTGCAAGCCCCACCCGGGTTGGGCCAATTGCCACCCTAATGATTTGTGAGCAAGAGAACATGCTTTTAGAGAGGGAAAAAAGTTTATATAAAGTTACAATCATATACTATAAAAGTAACATGCACCTCAAAAACCCAATAGTAAAGAGTGTTTCAAAATTGGAAACCTTCCAATTGATCGTCTCGATCTTGAAATGCATGGATATATAGAATAACAAAAAAATTTCAAGTCCAAAAAATAATGCATCTTGTAACAAGTTATCTGGACCGTCTATTTTTAATATTTTTAAGTGTTTATAAATTTGCTCAATCTGCTCCGTTTTGGATTTCTGAGCTTCATAATTAAAGTAGAATATGGATTTTCAAGTCATCATAAGATTTTATACACAAACTACATCGTCCAACAAAATTTATAAATATACTTTACTTGTATAATACAAGATTGGCACCTTTATACATACCTCACCCTTTATAGAGTAAATAATGCATTGTTATAACGGATAAAGTTTCAATAAGGCCTACGCCTTATGAGGAAAAAGTAAAGCCTCACATCAAAATCTTGTCCAAAAAACAACAAGGGCATGGAAAATCTCTAAGATGACTCTAAAGTCTCTTTCCACTAGTGATTATGAAATTTGTCGCTAAAAAAATAAGTTACAGATTATGTGGACATGTGGACACTTGAAAGTAGATAATATGTTACAATATACGTTATTCTTAGGGCTCGAAATCTTATTTATTTTTTTCACATCTACAATGATCAAAGTAGACATGATCGGTTTGAAGGTTTTACGATGTTGGAACTACAATTTTTAATGAGTTTTGAGGTGAAGTGTTAATTTTTTTTCCATAAAGCCTTGATCTTAATTTAACTTTTTCCTATTACAAATGAATGCTTCGTACTTGGAGAGACTAATGTAATGCTACAGAGCACAAAGTCTTGGTAGGGGTGGTAATTGGGTTGGAATGACCCATTTGGACGACTCGAATTGGGTCCGGATATAGGTCCATATTTGGACCTGGCGGGTCGAATCTGGGTCCAAGTGCTTGGACCCAACTCGAGTCATGTCCAGATCCAGCATGGACTCTATCGGGTTGGGTCATGCGTATGCCGACTTGACCCATTACAAAAAACATAATTTATATACTATATAATATATAAATTAAAATTTTTATTTTTAAATTTTTAGACCTAAGTCCAATCCAAATGTCTTGAACTGGTCTGGGTTCGGGTTTGGGTCTGGGTCATTTGGACCCGACCCTGGTGGTCCAGGGATTCGGATTCATATAAAACTTTGTCAAGTCGAATCCGGATCCAATTGACCTGAATTATTGCCACCCATGAGTCTTTAGAAGCTACATTGCAACCCCTAAGTCTTTGGAAGCCACATTCTTACAGAGAGACATTTACCTCAAGGCTACCTGCAAAAGAGCTATGGTGGTTTGATGGCATCCTGGTTTGGAACATCACACTGTCTACCTCAAGGCTACCTGTAAAAGAGCTATGGTGGTTTGATGGCATACCGGTATGGAACATGACACTATCTACGAGAAGGGTCAATTCTGTGGTTGAAAGTCAGTTTGGGGCATTGATGAACAATCTCTATTCTTTTTGTTTCTATCATTGGAAACAAGATATATTGATTTGGGGTCTTCATACTAGGAGGTGCTTCTCCACTTCGTCTCTTTACAAGGAGATTTGGAGAGACAAATATTTCGAAGACAAGAGGTATCTCACAAAATTATGGGGATGCAAGGCTCCCGCCCGAGTTAGATCTTTCCTTTGGTTGTTGGCCTACAAAAGACTTTTGACAATAGATCATCTCAGACGTAAAGGAATGATTTTAACAAATGTCTGCCTAGTTTTGTAAAGAGAACAAAGAGAATATTGACTATGTGTTCCTTAGATGTCCCTTTACTGCTAATTTTTGGGCTTGGCTTCTCGGTTTGAGAAGTTGGAATGGGCCGTGGCCTCCGGACGCATCCTTCTTAATGCTTCAGATCTGAAACCCCTTGTTTCTCTCTGTTAGTTTGCATCTTTGGAGAATTATGGTTGCCGCCCTACTGTGGATCTTATGGAAAGAACGCAACTTGAGAACCTTTGAAAGCATTTCTAGAGATGTCGATTCTCTTAAGATGGTTATCCAGCACACGGCTATCTCTTTGGCCTACGCCGTGCTCTCTCTCTCTCTACTGTGCTTTATTGTTCTTTTGCTCATTTCCGTGATATCATCAAGTTTAAGAAGTCTTACCAATCACCTCGTTGCGTCTGGGTCAACCCCCATCTAAGTGGTTTAAGCTTAATTTCGATGGCAATGCAAGAGGTTCCCGCTCGGGTGGAGGGGCGTTACTGCGAGACACCAAGGAGTGACTCTCTGGTATGTTTCGAAGACTTTCCATTCCTGTGAGGTTCATGAAGCAGAACTTTATGCTCTCAAGATGGGGGTGTTATGTCTTGACCTTTCGTTCTCCAGGATCATCATCAAAGGATATTCAACTAATGTTATTAACTAGTGTTGTCATCCTTCTCTCGTGTCCTAGAGGCTTAGTGGTGCCTTGGATGAAATCTTGTGGGCTTTGAGAGACTAGGGATACTTCTTTCAGTTTTATTTGCAGAAGTGCAAATGTTGAAGCCGATTCCTTAACTGGCTTGGCCACTGCTTCTTAGAGATCTATTCGGCTCTCCTTTTTCTTTTCTTTGTGTTTCGGTTTTTCTTTGTTTTTTTACTTTTCTTGTTCTTTGTTGAATATTACCTTTATTGGGGAAAAAAAAAAAGAAGAGATATTTTGTGAGGTATTTTTGGGGGAGAGAACAATATACGATGCTCTTTGTGAAGTGAGAGCAGTAAAGACCAGAGGGACTCTATTCCTGGAAGCGAGTAGGCCCCCTTTTCTTACTTGACGTGCTCTAATTCTAGAGAGAGAATGTGTCTTGTCGCAAGTTCCTTGTAGAGGGAGAAAGTAGCCCTCCTTTTCTTATCCGCTATTTGGGAAGCCTCCAGAGCCCCAACGCTGAACACCCCCCCCCCTTCACGAGAACTCCAGAATTCTGAACGTGATAAACATGGTCCCTCTCACTCTCTCGCGAAACGTCAATCTACAAGAATCTCTCTCTTAAAATAATCAACTCTCTCCATCTCTCTGTTAAATAATCAATCCTCTCCATCTCTCTCTTAAAGTAATCAATTCATAATTCAAGAAGATCAATGGCTTCAGCAGCTGCTGGTTTCGCCTTTAATCAACAAATTCCCCAAATTTCTCTCTCTAACCTCTCTCTTAGGCACAAGAACAACCAATCATTTTGTTCTCGGAGTTCATTAAAGATACCCCATTGCCCTTTGAGCAGTAGAAGGGCGCTCTCTACATTGAAAACAGGAGTCACCCACCACAGAAACTCCCTCTTTTCTACTAGAAATGTGGAGAGATTCAAAAGAAATTCTCGCTTTGTTGTTCGATGCGAGGCCCCAAAGGATGGAAGGGTAAGAATCTCTACTCTCGCTCTCTGTCCCTCCTCTCTCTTTCTTACTCTTTCTCTCTCTTTCTCCCTCTGTCTGTTTCTCTTTCTCCCTCTCTCCCTTAGGGGGTTATCATGAGTCTATTGAGATTGGGTTTTCATTTCCCTAGCTGAGTTCTTACCAGTTAATTGAATTTGGGGTTTTCACTTTATTTTCTATGTTATTAATAATAAGAATTTTTTACTACTTTCATGTTTATTTGAGCGCAATTTTTTTTTTTTTGGATTTTATCACTATTCATGGGCTTGTTGGGCGTTTTTATTATCTCATTAGGAATTGTATTTGCTTTTCTTCAATGTGACTGTTTCAGGTTTCTATGAGTTCATCATATAAATATTTTTGGAAAGAAGTTATTCCTTTAAGTTTTCATAAGTTCAATGGACTGAGTTTTCTCAAATTTATCAATTTATTCAATTATTGGCCCCTCAATTTGCTCAATTATCATTTCATTCGGATTCACTTATTTCACGATCATTTATGTTCCTAATTCACCATTTACATGTAGTTTGTTATTGAGTTTGGCTCTAATTTTCTTTATTCAATTCCTTGTGTTGAAGTTTACTTTCCCTAATTCACCATGTAGTTTGTTATTGTGTTTAGCTCTAATTTTCTTTATTCAATTCTGTGTGTTGAAGATTACTCAGCAAGAATTTACAGAGATGGCATGGCAAGCTATTGTTTCATCACCTGAAGTGGCGAAGGAGAGTAAGCAACAAATTGTAGAGACTGAACACTTGATGAAAGCACTGCTTGAGCAAAAGAATGGCCTTGCTCGCCGTATCTTCTCGAAGGCTGGAGTTGATAACACTCGACTCCTTGAAGCCACGGAGAGTTTCATTCAGAGACAACCCAAGGTAATTTTGTTATCCTACTTAATGATTGTTAAGAGGTAAAATTTTGGATAAATTTACTCTTTTTTTTATTAGCACTTGTGATATTTGTAGGTCCATGAGATTTCTTGTAAAGGTTGGTTTGCTAGTAGGAGATTGTCTTTTCAATTAATTGGGGTCGGTTACATAAATCCTGGTTTTCCATTCTACTCTATTAAAGGCTATATCCTCGATGAGGCCATAAGTCCTCCTATCTTTTCTGACTACTTCCAACCACGTCTTTTTGGCCCTATCTCTTGTCTTTTTCAATCTTTCCAATTGAACTAACTCGCACCTTTGAACAGGTATTGTACTTGGTTAGCGCCACACATGGCTAACCCACCTAGGTCTACTCTCTCTCATTTTCTCACCTATTAGTGCCATTCATAAATTCTCTCAAACATATTCATTTCGAATTCTGTCCCTTATTGTCTTCCCACTCATCCATGTCAACATTCTCATCTCCACCACACTCATTTTATGGTTATATTGTTTTTTGTTCGCCCAACATTCTTTCCCATAGAGCAAAGCTAGTATCAATGTTGTCATTTAGAACTTGCCCTTTAGCCTCATTGGTATGCGGCGATCACATAAAATTCCAGTTGTACATCTCCACTTCGTCCACCCAGCTTTAATTTTGCATGCGACATCTTTCTTGATGTCTCAATTTTCTTGGGTTATCGACCCAAGATATCGAAAGTACAGTCTTTTTTGTACTTCCTGACTGTCAATCTTGACTACTTCTTCGTCTCTACTCCTATTGTTATTAAACTTGCATTTCATATACTTTGTCTTAGTCCGATTAATTTTAAAATTTGTGAATTCTAGAGCATTCATCCAAAGTTCTAACTTTGTGTTGACGCCGTTTCGGTTCTCATCAATCAAAACTATGTCATCTGCGAATAACGTGCACCACGGTACCTCATCCTGTAGGTGCCTGGTTAAGTCGTCCATAACTAAGGCAAAGAGAGACGGGCTCAATGCTGACCCTTGATGTAGATCTATTGTCACTGAAACTCCCTCATCTCGCCACTAGTTGTTCGTACACTAGTTAGCGTTATATCATATATATCTCTCATCAAGTCGATGTAGTGTCTGGAAACTCATTTTTTTTCCAACACCCGTCAAATCAAGTCTTGAGGTACTCTATCATAAGCTTTCTCTAAATTAATAAAGACCATGTGGAGGTCTTTTCCCTTCGCCCTAAACTTCTCAATCAGTTATCTAAGTAGGAAAATAGCCTCAGTTGTTGATCTTCTTGGCATAAAACTAAATTGGTTGTCAGATACACTCGTTCCATGCCTCAGTTGTCGCTCAGTTACTCTCTCCCAGAGCTTCATAGCATGGCTCATAAGCTTGATCCCTTAATAGTTTGCACAATTTTGTATAATTTCATTTGTTCTTGTAAATAGGTATCACAATACTTTTTCTCCATTCATTTAGTATTTTCTTTGTTCTCAACACTTTGGTGAATAGCTTCGTCAGCCAGTCAATGTCAATTTCCCCCATGCACCTCCAAACTTCTATCAAGATACCATTTGGTCCTCAAGCCTTTCCTATCTTCATCCTTTTCAAAGCTTCTTTCACTTCCGACATCCTAATCCTACGAATGTACCTATGACATCTGCCATCACTTGTACCAACAGTCCTTTCTACCACTATGTTTTCATTGCGTTTGTCATTTAATAATTTTTTAAAATAGACTCTCCACCTTTCGTTGACCTCGTCATCTTTCACCAAGAACCTTTGGTCCTCACTCTAAATGCATTTAATATGGTTTAGATCCCCACATTTTTTCTCTCTTATTTTTGTTAAGTTGAAGATACTAGTTTATTGCATAAATTATCATATGCATTAAGTTTAGCTTTATTTACTATTTATTTAGCATTTTTCTTAGCATTTTTATATTCTTCTAAGTTTTGATCATTTCTATTGCACTGCCAAGTTTTATAACATGATCGTTTTTTGCTAATAGTTTTTTGAACCTTATCATTTCACCACCAAGTTTCCTTATCGACGTTTCTTTTCCCTTTAGATTCTCCTAAAACTTCTTTTGCGACTTTCTTGATACATTCAGCTATTTCATTCTCTATATATATGAGATTGTATATAATGAGACCATTTACCTTTAGTACAAGTAGGTCATAATTACTTATAACTATTTGATGTGAAATCTAACAGCTTGGTGTGTCATTAAAATTCGAGAAAATTTCTTTTGAATGTTGATATGGTCAATAGAATAATTGCAACCACCCAATTTCACATATAATGGTCAATTTTAATTGTGACCATCTTATACCTCATTGTATGCTTTCCTTTTTTATATATATATATATATAACAGTGTTTTTGCCCATAGGCTTAGCACCATTTGATTTTTTTGGACAGCATGGATAAATCGACTGTACCGGACATGCTATATCCGTTGTGGTATTGCAACGGACATAGCATGTCCAGTGCGGTCGATTTTTTCACGCGAAAAACACAGGAAACCGCAACGGCTCTCTACGAGAGCCATTGCGACTTTTCAAGCAAAACTGCAACTGCTCTATGAGAGCCTTTGCAACTGCTCTATTCATTTTCGCCCTATGGTGCATTTAAGATTTTTTCATATGTGTATATATATATATATATGGAAAGTCTTCCCAATGCCTATAGGCAAAAATGAACAGTGATTTCGCCTACCCTCATCATTATCCAAATTATTTTTTTTACAAATCGGAATGACCTGAAATTTAGAGTGTGTGTACATCTTAGTGAGGCGCACCTAATAAAAATACAAAAAAAATTATTCACAAAAACTAAATTGACCAAAATACCCCTGAAACTTTTTGTAAAATATTTGTTTTTTATGTAAAATAGTTTTTTGATATTTTTCATAGATTCGCTTATTTTTTATGAACACACGCTCCAAATTTCAGGTCATTCCGATTCGTAGAAAAAAATGAAAAATGAAACACTACCGGACAATCGTGACCGTGCGATGAACTTTGGACTTTGGATGGTGATGAGGGTAGGCGAAATCACTGTTCATTTTCGCCTATTGGTGTTTTGTAGTATCTTCCATATATAATACTGGCTGAAAGGTTGATTATTTCTGCTCTATTCTTGTGGAAGCTAGATTTTGCGGCTAGGATAACTAACAATTGTGTTGAACTTGATTATGAGATCCATCCTAATTTATGATGCGCTTTGTTTTTAGCTTCGCATTGATGATTCACAGCACAGCTTTGTTAATTGGCTGTTTTCCTTTGTTTGGGATCCAAACCTTCATTCACTGCTTGTCTTAGTGATTCTTAATTATTTATTGCTGGTATGCTAGGTTTTCAACCTTGGGCATTGGTGTTGTGCCTTCGATCCCAACTAGCCACGAAGCCAATAGGCTTAAAAGTTTTTTGGAATAAGTCAGCTTGGTTTTTACACACAATTAAACTTGCTTTGTCATCGTGTTAATCTCCTTCGTGCAAATTATGTGTGATACTACCTGGAACTAAGGCTCTTGATATGAAAGAACAATAGATTGAAATTTTCATTAGTTATAGTTTGTATTTTGCAGATTATCCATGTGTTTTTATTACCCCTTTTATTTGTTTTGATAAGAGATGCTAATTGTTGATGGTAAACACATTTCCTCGCAACAATTTGACATGTCTGTCTTGTTCATGCATTTTTCCCTTTAAAATTTGCAAAGGAAATGTTTAACCTGGATGAGTGTTTTGTGCATTTGTTCCTCTTGCCATGTTTGCACCCATTTCTCAATTTAGAAACAATGGATTTTACTGCACACTCAAGATGGGCTTAGTTTGTCCTTTCTTTTATTGTTAATTCGAATATAGGGTTTATTCCAATAATTTTTTTTAATCATGTTCAAGTCATGGACTCCACTTTTGCTTCTGGTTCCGCTTATTTTTACTATTACTAGTCTTTGTACTAATGTTACTTGTCGACCTTTGGTAGGTTCTGGGTGAGACCTCTGGATCTATGTTAGGGCGTGACCTTGAAGCCCTGATTCAGAGATCTAGAGACTACAAGAAAGAATATGGTGATTCTTTTGTCTCTGTGGAACACTTAGTGCTTGCCTTTGCTCAAGACCAACGATTTGGGAAGCAATTATATAAAGAATTTCAAATTTTTCTCAAGACCCTTACTTCTGCCATACAATCTATAAGGGGTCGACAGACAGTTATTGATCAAGGTACCATATGGCACTATTTTATTTCCCTTTTCTGATAAGTAATGCTTCTACAGATTTGTTACGTGAAAAATTAAGGAAAAACATATGTACTAAATTAAGACATAATATGTATATATGGAGAAATGGTCTAAGATATTCGCTTAGATTGCATCCTTTGCCATCAAAAACTTTTCTTGATGTATTAATTTGTGTGCTTTTTCATAATAAATTATTGATTGTGTTTTTCTTAATAAATTATTAATTTGTGCATTTGAATTTAATTTATGTATGATATCCATACATAATTTATGAATGAGCAGATCCTGAGGGAAAGTACGAAGCCTTAGATAAATATGGGGTGGATTTGACTGCTATGGCTAAAGAAGGAAAGCTCGATCCGGTTATAGGAAGGGACGATGAAATCCGTAGATGCATACAAATTCTTTCAAGGAGAACCAAGAACAATCCTGTTCTGATTGGGGAACCAGGTGTTGGGAAAACCGCAATAGCTGAGGGGTAATGGCCCTATTCTACTATGTGCAACCTTGTCTTGTTTCTTTTTGGGCTCATTTGTACTAATGGTTATTGGAATTCTCATCTTATATTAGTTGTGAAATGTCCATTTTGAACCAATTCTCATGAGTTCTTGTTGTTCTCTCCTTTACAGGCTTGCGCAAAGAATTGTTCAAGGGGATGTTCCTCAAGCTCTGATGAACCGCAAGGTATTCTATATAAAGGTGTTGTTTTTTTTATAATTAACATATGAGTAATGATTCTATAGGACCCTCCCCCACCCATGTGTGTAGGACCCCAAAGGATCACCATTAAAGTTGGCACGGATCTTTAAAAAAATTATGACATGGGTGTGGGACTTGACTTTTCTCTAGATCCATGCCAAATTTAATAGTGATTCTTTGGGGTCCTACACACATGGATGGGGAGGGTCCTATTGGATCATTTCTCTTAACATATTAACATTTGACATGATCTACTATAGTTTGTAAAAAGAATTTTTACTTGGTTTGTTTTACTTTTGAATACTGAAGTTATTATGGCACTTTAGGGGATGCAATTCACACACATGTACATAGTGTTTTATAAGGCTTAATAGTGCTTTTATGCGGTGCAAGAAATGGTGTTCTTTTTTTTCTTCGAGCAGCAGTGCAAGAAATGGTGTTTTTGCTAATCTTTTATTTATTTATTTATTTTAATTTTGTTTTTCAGTTGATATCTTTGGACATGGGTGCGCTTATAGCTGGAGCCAAATTTAGGGGAGAGTTTGAGGATAGGCTCAAAGCCGTACTGAAGGAAGTGACTCAATCAGATGGGCAGATAATTCTCTTCATTGATGAAATTCACACAGTTGTTGGAGCAGGTTGTTTCAATGACCTAAGTTCTTCTGTGTTATTGATATGGGCATAGTCTTTGGGAATTACTGTGCTTACTGGATTTTCCATCTTTCTTATTTGTATTCTAAAGGAAAATTACTTCTTATGAGCATTCACTGGAAGAGCTGAAAAGATGATAATGGGATGAACTACTGATGTTCTTGTCCAGGCATTTATAATGCCAACCATTAAAAAACTGAACTTGAAATACTAAAGAGTAAAGACTAATAAGTTCCTGCAAGATTCTTTGAATGGAAAAGCTAGAATTTCTGGTCAATTTGCTCTTGTGCAATCAATCAAGAGGAAAAAAATTGACTTTTATTCTCTGATTAGTATTGGAAGTTTAAACACCTATGATTTATTTCGAAACTCACTGCAATACCCCTAAGACAAAAACAGGATGTGCTGACTAAGAAATACTCACTTGTTGCTTATCAGGTGCTACAAATGGAGCCATGGATGCTGGAAATTTGTTAAAGCCGATGCTTGGTCGTGGAGAATTACGATGTATTGGAGCAACCACTCTTGATGAATACCGAAAATATATCGAGAAAGATCCAGCCTTGGAGCGCCGTTTTCAACAAGTTTATGTTGATCAGCCCTCAGTTGAAGATACAATTTCTATCCTCCGTGGATTAAGAGAAAGGTATGAGCTACACCATGGGGTCCGCATCTCTGATGGTGCTCTAGTAGAGGCTGCAATTCTTGCAGACCGTTATATAAGTGGGCGATTTTTGCCTGACAAAGGTAATTTCCTCCTTTTTTTAGTATATTTATTATTGTTTGATACAGGAAGGTAATTTATTTGGGAAAGTATGTTATAGTCCAAGGGTCTATGGAAAAATCATAGGACCTTCAGGTCATAACGATCCATTGAGATGTTGGATGGGGATGGAGATAGTGAGTGGTCTACTGGATTTGGGATGGCCCCAATGGCAGGTCCCACTTTCCTTTCATCACTGCCCATCAGTTTATTGGATGTTGATAACTCCATTGGACAAAGGATTTCAGTAGTAACAGGATTCCAACCAAAACCCCACTCAAAATAAAATAAAATCACTTTCTTCTAGTTTTTAATGGACCTAGTTCCATCCAATTGGAGTATATTTGATATAATTGTGACTTCTAAAGTTCAATTTTTTTTTTTTTGGGTTTTTCTGCAATGAACAAATGGTGGATTTTATGAGCATTAGGTTGCAAGTTAATTGAGTGATTGATTTGTGGTAAAATTATTAATTTGTGATTTCTTTCTATTTTTTCAGTTGTTTGATTAATTTTGAATTGATATAATTTGGTGCTGTTGAATGACTGCAGCAATTGATCTAGTTGACGAGGCAGCTGCAAAGCTCAAGATGGAGATAACCTCGAAACCGACTGCATTGGATGAAATAAACCGCTCCGTGTTAAAGCTTGAAATGGAGCGTCTCTCTCTTACTAATGACACTGACAGAGCTTCGAAAGATAGATTGGCGCGCCTTGAGGCAGAGCTTACTCTCCTGAAGGCAAAGCAAGAAGAGCTAACCCAACAATGGGAGCATGAGAAATCCGTAATGACTCGCATTCAGTCTATTAAAGAAGAGGTATCTTTTGCTTCCTATTTTTGTTTAGCTGTTCACATTATATTCTTTTTTTAAATTTTAATGCAAATTGTCCATTGAAGAGAACCAGTTTCATAGTCATTCTCGACTTCTTAAACAAGTAGCTAAAATCAGTTTGAATGCAGTAATTTTGTTGGTGGTTACATCTGTCATGAGTACTAACAGGTCATAGTGCATTTAATGAAGTTCCCCTCCATTAATTAAAGACATCCACAATGATCTAACATAGTATTGGATGTAGAATCTTGCCTCTGCTTGTGTGGAATTCAGCACTTGGATGGCTTGTGAAAACAAAATAATTATTGAACGTTTCTTGTCTCTGAAGACTCACGTCCCCCAGCCTGCTACTGTTTTAAGTTTACTATATCAATTGGTATTAAGCTTGAAGCAACTAGGATAACCTTGTCTGCTACAGTACATGAAATGTTCGCATATCATAATCATCCAACTGGCCTCATTTCTGCATCCAACAACTTTGAAGGGACCATTAACAGATAAAAGCAAAAGCTGACCACTTATGTCTATTTGCAATCTTTTGGTATGCGGCTTTATCATCACCATCATCCAAGCTTTATCCTAATTGTTTGGGTCTGTCACTTAATATCTACTGCTAATTGCTTCCATTATTATAGTCTTAGACTTTCTCTTAAAGATTTTAAAGAGATCAGCCACCTCCCTCTGGATGGGCTGTTAAATCTCAAAATTTCTCCCCTCTTCTTGGTTCCAAACTCTCCATGTATCCCTGGTGCAACAATTATTGCTCCACTTCCTTTTGCTTATTATGATACCAACTGTTGTTGTTTTCTCTTTGCAGATTGATAGGGTAAACCTTGAAATTCAACAAGCAGAGCGTGACTATGACCTCAATCGAGCAGCCGAGCTAAAATATGGAAGCCTCATGTCATTGCAACACCAATTAGAAGTCGCTGAAAAGGAGTTAGATGAGTACCAAAGCTCTGGTAAATCTATGTTAAGAGAAGAAGTCACAGCTGATGACATAGCGGAGATAGTTAGCAAATGGACGGGCATACCAGTCTCAAAACTTCAACAATCAGAGCGTGAAAAGCTTCTCTACTTAGAAGAAGAGCTCCACAAGAGGGTCGTAGGGCAAAACGAGGCTGTCCGAGCTGTGGCCGAAGCAATTCAACGTTCAAGAGCTGGTCTCTCGGACCCGCATCGCCCAATCGCCAGTTTCATGTTCATGGGTCCTACAGGTGTTGGTAAAACTGAGCTAGCCAAAGCCTTGGCTTCATATTTGTTCAACACTGAAGAAGCCTTAGTGAGAATAGACATGAGTGAGTATATGGAAAGGCACACAGTTTCTCGATTAATTGGAGCTCCACCAGGTTACGTGGGTTATGAGGAAGGTGGGCAATTAACTGAGGTTGTTAGGCGAAGGCCTTATGCGGTTATTCTTTTCGATGAAATTGAGAAGGCCCATAGTGATGTTTTTAATATTTTTCTTCAAATTTTGGATGATGGGAGGGTTACCGATTCACAAGGTAGAAAAGTGAGCTTTACAAATACAGTAATTATTATGACTTCAAATGTGGGTTCTCAATATATATTGAATGCGGATGATGAGCCATTCTCTGGGGACTCGGCTTATGAGGTTATCAAGAGGAGAGTGATGGAGGCTGCGAGGTCGATCTTTAAGCCTGAGTTTATGAATCGGGTTGATGAGTTTATAGTTTTCAGGCCATTGGATCGCGAGCAGATCAACAAAATTGTGAGATTGCAGGTATGTTTCTTGTTTGGTTTGGGTTGTGGTGATACAGTTTTTTTGTTTTTTGGGGTCTTTTGTGGGTTGGGGCAGGGGTGGGGGGAAGACGGACAGAGAGAGGGAGTTGCCTTGCTAAGATGAATAAAAGAGGGGAAGCTTATGATGGCAAAGTGTCTTTTTAACAAGGGTCTTCTCTCCTCTTGAATCTCAAAGTGCATGTGGGGAGTTTCTAATTTGGGTTTTACTTTTTTCCTCTTAGATCTCCGAGTGTGTAAGAGAGAGGAAGAGCGTGTCTTTCTATAATCAGTCTTGCATATCATCTATTGTTGGAATAGAATAAATTCCAGGCTGTGTAGGTGGGTGTATGCGTGCGTGAGAGAGTGTGTGTGAGAGAGAGTTTTCTTGTTTTTCATTGTCTAATTGTTTGATATCATCGATCTAATTCAGTTCCACATTTGCAGTTGGAGCGTGTGCAAGAGCGGCTAAATGATCGAAAGATAACATTAAAAGTGAGCGACTCGGCTGTTGAGCTCTTGGGAAGCCTCGGATATGACCCCAACTATGGGGCAAGGCCTGTAAAGAGAGTTATTCAGCAATACGTCGAGACTGAATTGGCAAAACGTATACTAAGAGGAGAATTCAAAGATGAAGACAAGATCTTAGTTGACACTGAAATCACATCTCTCTCTAATGGGCAGCTCCCTCAACAAAAGTTGGTCTTTAAGAGGGTGACCCCAGATTCAGATTCTTCTTCTGTGGTGGGCCAAAGAACTCTTTCAACCAGCCTGTGAAATGGGTAGCCTCTCTCTCTTCCCCCCCTAGAAACCAAACACATTCTCAACCAGCCTATTAGGGAAGGCTTCTCCCCCCATTCTCACATATAAGGGACAATTGAACTCTTGCTCCCTTTCTCAACTTAAAAATCAAAAAAAGAGAGTGGGTGTCTCCACCCATCTTGAGATATGTATAATCTCCTGTTATGAAATTCTCTCTCAATATACATATGACCATATTTGTATCATATGGTTTTCTTCAGTGAATACAAGTTTTGGTTTTGATACGTAATGCGTGTGCTTTTGATGTTTTTTAGGAAATTTTGGAGAGAGTGTGTTGTACATTTGGTTGCTGTTGGTTTTTTAGGGTGTCTGGTTTCTCATATTTTCTCAGCTCGTGAAGATGCCATGCTCCTGCAAGACCATTATGCACACTTGCTCCTAAGATAAAAAATTGTAGGGGAGCATTTTCTGAATTTTGGGGATAAAAATTGTATCATAAGAGAATTTTATTGTAGGACTGTTCTTCGGAACTCAGTACTCAATAATTTAGAATTATTATTTGTTTTGAACTTTTAATTTAAGAATTCAAAAATTGCTTGGGTAATCACAAGGTGGTTTCCAAAAAGAATTTCCTATCAAATGGTGTTTTGCCCGATTATAGCTCTTGAGTGAGTACCATTCACTGACCCCTTGATAGAGGATCTTTATATATGCATTGTATATATGAGGGTATTTTGATCAATTTATATTTTATAAATTAGTTTTTTTATATTTTTATTAGATTTTTTTATTTTTAAATAATAGACATTTCAAATTTCAAATGATTTAGATTTATAGAAAAAAAATGAAAATTCAAATACGAAATAAAATCGTGACCGTCAGATCTACATTCAATCTTAACTATTGACTGACATTGTACCTATCAACTTATGGGTTNACAAGATCTTTTGTCTATATATATATATATATATATATATATATATATATATATTATTTAGTGTGAGTANACTAATTTAGTAGAGAGTATTAGTG